CATATCTTTTGTCTTCATGGATGTGGCGCTGGTGCAACGCTAGAGCACTCCCGACTATGCAGAAGTAAGCAAACCAGCCCTTTTGGCGTTTCTGCTGGGGCCGTATGCTGAATGTTGGGGAGGGGATGGGGTCCCCGACGGTCGACGGACTACTTCAACTCGGTCCTTAAAACCGCCTCAATTTGGACTAAGCCTTAAAGAGAGGACGGACCTGCGAAGAGAGGCAGGTCCGTCCCTCTCCAAGGCTTAGTCCTGGGGTAAGCAAACCAGCCCTTTTGGCGGAGCTGCTGGACCTAGCTGCACCACTTGCGTCATCACTCTCCTACCGTACCGACCGAGTTGAAGTAGTCCGTCGACCTCGGGGACCCCATCCCCTCCCCAACATTCAGCATACGGTCCCAGCAGAAACGCCAAAAAGGGCTGGTTTGCTTACCTCCGACTATGCAGAAGTGCATAATTTGCACACTTCATTCAAGGTGTGTTTATGCAGTACACTTCAAAGTGAAATTTTCAGAGAATCACGTTATACGTGAATTTTGCAGACCATACTTTGCAGCCACACTGTGCATGGAATCTTCTTAAATTTTTAGACACTGGCACATTATTCTCTGATATGGAATCCTCTTATATTCTTACAATTAGACATCCGACCTTCCATCACTCACTTAAAATCCTATTCAAATTTCAGACACTTGAGACATTCTTTCATTAATATACTCAGACACTGAGAAGATAAGAGGATTGCATCAATGAGATTCCTATTATATTCTAAGAGACGTGACCCCTTCGCCTCATATATAAAATCCCCTAAGGTCTCTAGACACCTGAAGCTTCTTCTCTTATCGTTGCAAAAGGCCTTTCGCTTCTCCTGCTGCTGCGTGCTCCAGACGTGGTAAAACTCTTCCTGGTAAACGCTTCAGTTGTCGGCACTAAGGTACCGTAGCTAGAGCTACCTTTCATTATGGCCCGTTCGTTTTTGAATCGATCAGCATTATTAAAAACACGACACAAATTGCAGTGGGAACAACTGGTGCTTCCATCTGCCAAGGAGAGAGATTGACTGCGGGCCGCAGGGGTTGTGTACTGGGTTATGAAAAACTCAACAGGAGGCATGAGCGTGCTTAGCCTTTCTGGGAGAGGTTGATGGGGAGGTCCATTTGTGGGGCATCGAAGTGCCATTCTTCGTCAGAAGAGAAAAGACAGTCCTAGCATCTTTTTCATTTTTCTCGCATATTCTTTTTGTATACTTTGGGCTTCTATAGTATTTTACGAAAATTTTTCGCCACATTGTGGATTGCTATCCCTGCAGACCGATGGGGCAGGTTGGGGGAAGGGGGGGGGTGTTGGATTTCTTGAAATCCCAAAGGGTTTTGTGCCCATATATCTGATACTAGTTAGCCGAACAAGGAAGGATTGAAGACATTTGGATTGGGCCTGCATACGATAAAGAATTTGATCCCCCGAACTGTGATAATGGTGCCAATTGCCTCGTACACCATACTTATCCGAAGTGAACGTCAATATATACAGGGGGGGCCAATAAAAAAAAGACATTTTGTCTCCACGCTCAGATGGATTTAATCACACTTTGCTCAATTCAACCGAATGGCCCAACTTGGTATTGAAGAGCACATTTCATTCTATAAGAAAATCTTCATAGTGGCCACCTACGTGGGTGGCATCAGAAAAATTTGCCTCGTAAACATGGTGCGCTGGTAGAGCTCAATGGGGTCTTCGAAGGATCGTGTGAAATAACGACCTCCCCTGGAAGGCGGGTTCCAAGGGGTTTGCATAGTGGGAGCTAAGGTCCCTAAGAATCTATCCAACGTTGAATCGATTCACGAAATTATGTGTAAGAGCTTCAGGCTGAAGCAGTTACGGTAGGCCTCCTTGAGCCTGACGACGGTGACAGATGACGTCATATTCTGAAGACGGTGAGGGCAGTGAAGGAGGGCCTGCGTTACTTATAGAGGGACATTTAGGGAATACTTGCTGAGGAACTTCCGTCAACGACGGCAATCTCTGCGAAGAAAAAAGGCCGAAGTGCGACATGGGCAAAATGTCTTTTTTTTTTGGCCCCCCCTGTATATTACCTATACAGTTGGTCCCTTTTGCAAGTGATCACATACATATTTTCGAATGCTTTCACGACCCCCGACAAAAGTGAAACAGTTGGCCCTGAGGTCGACCATGCACATCATCCACTGAATTTTCGTTCTGCTCCACTTTTGATTTTTCTTTGCACATTCTGAATATACTGCTTCAAAACCTCTTGCATCTTTCTTCTGTGGTTGGAATTTCTCGAAGAAATCCATATTTCACATGAATTCGATTTTTTACTCCTAGTAACAATAATGACTC